GATAAGTGATTTCTACTAATTTATTGCTCTATTCTTTTAAGAACATTGAGCACTATTTTATAGAATACATTTATAATTGTTGTTGACAGTTTTAATGCAGTCACTCGTAAAAGTTTCTATATGGTCCCACAACATTACCTGAATATTGGCAGATTTTTAAAGTTATATTTAGGGGTTCCCCAATGATCATGAAAGTTTTGAAAATTAGGTAAAACTGCATTGGTGTCTCTGGAGTTTAAAATGTTTATTATGTATTATTTCATGCAATATGGATTCATTAATCTGATATTTGTAGAACTAAAAAGCTGATAATTAGTAGAATATAGAATAATATTCTTGAAATGTATAATTCTTAACAAATTTAGTTTGTGTGAACTGAGATGGAAAACTCGAAAAAAAAAACTATTTTGAAAAAACAATTTTCTTTTAACTTTGCTTGCAAGCGCAAGTCCAATTGCTAAACATTGACACACTGTGACAGTCATATAACATTTTAGGTGACTCTAATAGTCACAATGTTATATGATAAACATTTAACAATGATACATAATTAGTTGTAATTACATATTTGTCAGCCTTGTCTATTTCTACAGTTTACACTAAACACTCTTTATTTCTACATGTCCAGAAGATCATCATGATTGCATTTTGAAAAGTCTCTAAGCTTTTCATTGATAGTGTTTTTGTTCTTCATCTTTTGTTATTGTTGCATTAAAATTCTGGAGAAGTGCAATACCATATTCAGCACAGTCATTGGCAAAGGCTAATTTTTGACAGGTTCAAATTCATTCTTGTAGAATTGGTTTTCTGACTATTCTTCAAAGGAATATTGAGAAAACTATCATCGATGGCAGTAGTTCTGAAAAAGCTTCAAGATACTGATAATTCAGACGTTGTACAAGGTAGACTCTAAAGAGAATTAATCAAATACGATCCTTGACCATCTTTTATTTTTGACACAAGCAGTGCTTTCTCTTTACAAGATACATTCTGAGAAAACAGAGCAAGAGTTGCTAGCTTTTGACTCAAATGCTATGAATGTTGCACCATCATTTTCAGACCTGTTTTCTGCAAGGCAACATTGTAGTTGTATAACTGTTGAACAAGGAAAATGTCATTGAATGGTGCATTAGCTGCTGTTCGGCATGACATTCAAGATTGGAGATATACATTTACTACTAATCTATTGAATCTCTGAATTCCCTGTAATTCACAAGCCGTTAGTTTTAGTACAGTTTCATTGCCATAAAGAAGCAACTTGGTCGTTTAGTTAGCCTTTGCCATCCATCATGCTCTGTGAAGAGCACTATGTTTTTGTAGAGCTGCAGAACTGTTCAAATTCAATCGAATTATCAATGCTGCAAGTTAAAGAAATTCTAGATAATCATCTCGTGTCTGAAAAAGTTGAAGCTCAGCAATGAACTTCTTTAATTTGTCACTTGCAGAGATCAAAGGTGTTGATTAAGGATTTGGTTGATGGTATACCAAGGTTTGAACCTCTTAAAAATCAAAATTCAGGCCCAGTTGATGGGCAGAGACACTTCAAATGAACCTCTAGTATGTGATGATGACATGCCATCCGCAGCAAGTCATGACCGATTGCTGCTTCCAGAAATGTGCAGGCTCCATTAATCTGCTTATGTTAAAGTACATGCCTTTAACTAGCAAATCACATTGCCATGACTTTAAAAGTGCCAGAACTGCCTCCATTGCTGACTTTCCTGACTCTGAGCTCCACTTTTGTACACCCAGAAGTTTTGTGCTTTCATCATCAAGAGTATATATTAAAACTGGCAATCCACCTGGTTGGTATCAACTCTTGTGATGTCAGTCATTTAATAAAAACTAACTTTATTTAAATTATCAAAAAGTATTTTTAAAAAAAGCTTATTGAAACGCATTCGTTATTGCCATTGTTTATAAAATTAAGAATACAAATTGTTTAAAAAAAATTACATTAATCAAAAAAAAATACATTTTGAAATAAATAAAAGTTTTATTTAATATTCTATGAGATTTATTTAAAAGCATTTAACTTAGTGTAAACAAATTTTATTATAAAGTTTACATAGCATGACAAAAAAATGTTTTCAACTATTAAATTTATGGGTTCATCAAAAAGTTTATTAAAACAATCATTTTCGTTGCTGTTTATAATATTAATTGTACAAATTGTTTTAAAAACATTTACATTCATCATAAAAAATAAACTTTTTAACAAAATAATATCTTTTAATAATTTAAATAAATGTCTTTTATAGTATACAATCTTATAGTAACCTTAAACTTTATTTAGCACATTTTTAAAACGTTTTCAAAAATCTAAAAAGCCATGGTTAAGTAGTCACAAAAAAAAAAAATCATGGTTAAGAATAGAGTGCTATTGCACACCTTTCCTGTCCAGGACTGCTGATGAGTCATTTAAACCTTAAATCCTTCATTGTATTGTAAATACATAATTTTTCCAAACAGACAACACATTCCTTCAGCATTTAATTCTTCTTATGCGTTGTCAGTAGTTAGGACAATAAGATCTAGCAAATCTTGATTAGTTTCTGTTTCTCTTATCAAAGTTCTTTGTACTAAACAGAAACACCTCTTCCAGTCAAAACATTACTAATTGTCAGGTGCAGTTTTTTTCCTACTTCAAGCTATTCATTGGTTGTTGGGAAATAGGTGCTTTTTGAGTCAAAAAGAAACCTTAATTTTCTCATTTGCTTCTTACTTAGTGTAAGGGAATGCATTAAAGCAATGGATTCATTTATTGTTTCAATATGATTTGCAAAAATAGCATTTCCAACATGAGCAATACTTTTGTCATTTTGTTTGTTTGCCTTCTGATTAAAGTTAAACAATAAAACCTCATAAAAAGGTAACCCAATAACATGCAACTCTGGGCACTCATTAGTAATAAAGTTGTTTATACAATTGAGAAGTTCCTGTGTCCCCTTGTTTTTTCTTAAAACCCAGTTCTGCAAAAGATTTTCATTGTTTTGAAAAACTCGGTTCTGTTATGTAAGCATCCTCTGCTTAATAAATGATATCTTTTGATTCTTGTGAAAGTATAAATGCATATCCACTTTTCTTGAAATGTTTTTCTTTTAGGCATTTATAACATTTCCATGTTTTTTCACACACATTTTCAAACTCCTGTGAATTAACTGATAGTTCAAAGTTTTTATAAATTATTTCTTTAATGGCTGAACATGTTACTTAGTTTGACTTAACAGTTTTTCCAGCTTAATAAATTGTGTAAATAAATCTATTTCTGTGATGTATTATGCATTTTTATTTTCCATTACATTTATTTTTTATTTTATTTTTTTTCTGCTAAAACAAATACAAAATCATATCAAATAAAATTAAAATTAACTGAAACTTAACTAAAATTAATCTACTTTAAGAAACAAAAAAAAAATACCTGATCATCTTTTTAAAATCATCTAAATAAAAAATAGTGCTAACTTGCCTCATTTCCCCTTAAAATATTTGGAAAGAAGAATTTTAAAATATTTTAAAAATGTATGACACAGTAAAAGCATAATCATGTATTTCTAGATTCTACTAATCAATTGCTAAATTAGGCTAAAAGATTGATCATGGAAGCATAGGACTGGTGCCAAAAACATTTCAGAGCTCGAAATATGCCTATGCAGTTTTGCCTGTATATTTTATTTTTAAAATATTCATAAATTCTGGTGTTGTTATGGGACCATAACAACCCTTTAGGAGGGACTGCATCTGCGAATTAATTTTTTTTTGGGAGACTCTAATTTAGTTGTTTAGTTTACTTATTTACATATTTAGTTTAGATGGCTCTAATAGCAAACAAATGGGGGCTTATATCAACGACACTTCTGTGCAATATCAAAACTGTAATATGAAAAAAGTTGTTGTGGATAACAAGCCTTGTCTTTGTTTATTTGCAATTAAAGATATAAAGTCTGGCACGGAGCTTAGATACAACTATGGTGATAAAGCAGATAACTTATGGTGGAGAACTGATGTATGCTAAATAAACTGTTCACGCACACAAACGCACACAGACACACACACACACATGCACACAGACACACACACACACACACACACACACACACACACACACACACACACACACACACACACACACATATATATATATATATATATATATATATATATATATATATATATATATATATATATATATATATATATATATATATATATGGACAGACATGGATGATAATTGTATATTCATGCATGTCTGTCTCTCTCTCTCTTTCTCTCTCTCTCTCTATATATATATATATATATATATATATATATATATATATATATATATATATATATATATATATATATATATGTATATATATATATATATATATATATATATGTATATATATATATATATATATATATATATATATATATATATATATATATATATATATATATTTAATAATTATGCTAATTTCCAAATATAATTATATATTTGCTATATATGCTCAAATAACTGAAATCTTTCCTGCCAATCTATCAGATGCAGTCAATATTCTCATTCTCTGTTATATATCATCATCTTTTTTTTCTTTTAGAGTGACATTCATCTAATATTACCATCATACCTTGCTCTTCAAGGAACTTCTTTCTGTTTTTACAGCCCACATTTTATTTTTATACATCATTGCTTATGTCCAAAAAGTTTTCCAATAATACATCTTTGAACATATATTTATATAAAGTTTGTTTTACATATATTTTAATAATTTTTTTTTTTTTTTTACCTTTTCAGTAATGCAATTTAAAATTTGAAAAAAATTCTATTAAATTGTGAAAAAAATTCCATTAAAATCATATGAAAGCTAAATGCCAACTTATCGAAATGCTAATTAATAAAAATTCTTTTAAAAAATATTCTCCTATCCTAAATATTTTTGCAAAATAATTACCGGATTTTTAAAGTATGACCTTGATAATCACTGTTTATTTAACATTAAAACACCAATATAAGTGCAAGTTAATTATAGCTTTAATTAAAGACAAATTTTTTTCTTTTAATTTTAACTTATTTCATATTTTCTTAGTTTTCAAGTTCCGATTCAAAATTGTTTTGAAGCAAAAATAACAATGGTTTGATAAGTGGGTTTGTAATTTATGAAGAGATTTTTTTGTTCAAAAGTGTTGCTGCACTTTTTTTTTGCAAGAGAGTTACACATTTGATATCTTCCATAAGAATAAATTTTTAAAGGTTTTCTTCAATGATAATTATTTATTTGACCATTTACACCTATTTACTCCTCACAATTTACTTGGAAAGTACCACAAATAAAATCTTATTATTAATCCCGATAAAACAAAATTAACAAATGCAAGGCTTGAATGTTTTGAATGCACTCTAGAAATGTAAAAGTTTCAATAAGAAGAAACACATGGCACTGAATAAGAAGATGTTAGGCAAAGATGGCTGATGTCAAATAAAGTATTTTGTACATTAGAGCTGAACACATGTTTCAGCAAACACCAATGAAAAAATTATTAAATTAAAGAATATTTGTAGAACTTGTTTATTTGAATATTGCATAGAAAAAATCCATTTTATTAAAAAGTTGTACATATTGACCCTATCAGATTTCTAGGTATGTGATATTTGCAGTAGTTCTATGGTTAATTGTCAAGTTATAACCACTTATTTAACAATTTTTTTATTGTATATTTGTTGTTTTAAAGCATTATTTTTCAAACCCTTTATCCAACATTTGAGATACATTTCTCAAACGCTGTTTCCAACATTAGAGATAAATATACTAATTGTATCCATTAGTATATTTATCTCTAATGTTGTCTTCATCCCTTTTCAAACTTGAGACTTTGGTTCCATTTCACCATTTAGAAAGTAAATTATTTTTATAAATTATATATATTAAAAAAATATATAAGCTTTTTTTTTAAAAACCTTTCTTTTTTTTGGGTAATAAATTTAATAATATCTGCTTCAAAATTCAAATTATTTTCAGAAAACATTACTCCAGCCTTATATCCTATCGGATGGAACTTGCGTTCCAGCTGTAAGTGTTTTTATTTGTTATTTGAAAAAAAAAATGTTTTTAATATTCTGGGATTAAATCTTTAAAATTTAATTCTTTAAAATAATGATGTTTATATTTATATTTAAATTATTTTCATATCATGTGAAATTATTATAACTAATGATAAAATGATAATGATAATGTAATATGATTCTTCTACAAAATTTTTGGCTTGATATTTAAATTATTCTCACATTTTGTATGTGATTTTTCAACAAAATTTTTATCTTCAGTTTCTTGTTGTTTTTTTCTTATAAGTTAAAATAAAATAGAAATATAATTAACATTTTAGGTCATTTTTTAAAAAAAAATATTAGAAACTTGTTTGTTGCGTTATGTGTGTGAATTATGTTAAACTTGAAAATTAAATTGTACATGATAAAAACCGTGATATTTTTAAATGTTGCTGCCTACATATAGATTTTAAATTTTTTTTTACTTTTTTTGTCCTTGTAAAAATAATTGTTGAATAAATTGCTTTCTAAAGAATAACATTAGATTGTTGTTTTTATATTGAAACGGCAGGAATGTTTAAAAGCTTTTAAAGTAAGAAATTATTTTTATATTTTTACGTTATTTAACATTTATATTTTTTTTGTATCATTAGATAAGCAAACAACACAGTTTAAAAGTTTCAGAGGTTATTAATTGTTTAAATTTTACAAAATTTTCTTTACTCATGATTTTTAAATATTTTAAATAAATTTACAAAAAATAATAATTGTAATATAATCATGGAATTTTTGATGAAATAGAATTAATTTTTACTTTTTTAACTTATCAGGTTTTGAAACTTATGAAAAATGAATCCTTACCTGTCGAGGTAACTTTATTATCTAGTTTATAGTCAGTATGCCACTTTCAATGATTTGCAAGTTGTTATAATATATATATATATATATATATATATATATATATATATATATATATATATATATATATATATATATATATTAAAATTATTTGTTTTTTTTTTTATACATGCACTCATTAAAATTATTTTAGAAATCAAAGGTGGTTCAAAACACCAGCAAAGTCGAATGTATGTTTAAATTTGTTGTTAACTTATTACTGTTTCAACTGTTGTTTTTTGTTGTTGTTGTTGTTGTTGTGAAATCAAATACTTTATAAATATATTTATTTTTACAGTCTCAAGCAAATCACTCAATCCTCCATTTATTAAAATTGAGGACAAATCTAGGTTACTTTTTTAATTTTAATATGTTGAATTGCATATGGGGTTGTCCATAAATCATGTCGCGCTCTAGGAGGGGGGGGGGGGGGAGGGGCAAGTGGTTTTGTAAATACTTATATGAGACTTACTAATGAGCATTTCCAAAAAATCATGCACAAAACATTGCATCTGTTGCATCAGTTATTTTTAAAAAAAATGCATTTTGTAATCTCTAACTTAATTTTAAATGACATGTATGTATATATTTCCTATACAAAGTGTGTTAGCTATTAGTTGCTTCATTGTAGAATAACTTAATTTTTTAATGGAGTCACCCACGGAACAGAAAAAAAGCAAAAAATTAAAGTTTTATAAATGAACCCTATTTTCTCTGAGAATCTCTGAAAACCCTGTTTTCTTAGAAAAAATTTTTTTTTTACTATTCAATTCAGTTTTACTTTAGTAAAAAAAATCAGTTTCATTGAAACTTATTAAGTCTTCTATTCCCAAATAATTAGAACTTTAAAATCAAGTTCGGAAATTCAAAATACCCTTCACTTTGGCATAAAATGATACTTAGTTGCAATTTATGATAATGAAATATTAAAACACATCATCTTTAAGAATTAAAAAATATGGACAAGGAAATCAACTTTAAACATCATAAGCACATATAATAAGAACTTTTTTATTTTGTCCTGAAAAATGTTTATATTTATTGTGAAGTTTGAATAATTAAAAAATGAAGAAAGATTTATCTCCTATAATTTTTCTTTTGAATAATCAAAATATTACGTATCTTCTTTTGGATTCCATCTTTATTGTTTTTAAATTTCTTTTTTTTTTTTTGACTTACTGGAATGGAAATGCCCTAAAGTGTTACAATGTTGTAACGAGGGGAAGTGGGTCAAAAAAGTTTGAAAATTTCATGGCATAATTTATGGATGACCCCTATCCTATAACTTTGTGTAACCCTGAAATATATATATTTTTTTAATTTCACATCCGTTTTTCCACAGTTGTGTGATTTGGACGGTTCTTTATAATGATATAAATGCCATTATGAAAGAGTAAAAGGATAACCTGATATATATATATATATATATATATATATATATATATATATATATATATATATATATATATATATATACACATAAGTATATATATTATTTTTATTATTATTATTATTAATTTTTTTATTCAGATTGTATAGGCCAATGTACAAAGAAGAAATTGAATCTGGTTTTCCCTTAATCTTTCATTTAAAAGAAAGTTTCCAAGTCAATTCAAATAACGAAACTATGTACGTTTTTTATTACAATTTAGTTTCTGCATGTGTGGGTGTGCATATATATATATATATATAAATATATATATATATATATATATATATATATATATATATATATATATATATATATATATATATATATATATATGTATATATATATATGTATATATATATATATATATATATATATATATATATATATATATATGTATATATATATATATATATATATATATATATATATATGTATATATATATATATATATATATAAAGTGATATTGCATACTTTTGTTAGCATTATGGCAGTATACTGATTTTGGGGTAAGCAAGGGTTTCAGTACACATATAGACTGATTTAGGAAGAACCAGCATGGGAGTTGCTGACACATCTCCTCTGGGTTTGGGTTAGGATAGCCATAAGTCAGGTTTTTTTTTCATTTCAGGGTAAATTTTTACATTACTCTTTATTTATATGTATTTAAATAATATTTGAACACAAGTGTCTTTTTATTTATTTTAGAACTAAAAATTGCAAATCTTACTGTGAGTGTTGTGAAGTTAAATTTGAAGATTTAAAATTGGTATTTGATATTTTGTTAAAAAGTTCATCGATTTCATTTTAATAATAAAGCCATAGATGATTTTCAAGATTTTATTTCATATCTTCAGTTTTCATACATATATATAAGTTTATTGTTAATTCAGTTATTATTAAATATAGTTTTAGTACTAATAATAAACTTGTTTTTATATTCAGCATTTGAATGGAAATCAACACAGACAATTTGCTTTAAACAGTAATAACTATGCAGGTGTTGATGATATTATAAAAAGTTTTTCTTTTGAAAAATTTCTTTTGGAAATTGAAAGTAGTTTAAAACATAATGTTACGTTATCAAGTTTAACTTCTATTGAAGAGACACATGTTCATTCCGATAATAAACATATAGTTAGTGAAGTTAGTGAAATTAGTAGTGATTTTGTTGATTTTAGTTTATCAAGTGATAAAGAAAAACATAAAGTAAATGAATACGAAAAAGTTGATCCTGAAGTTGTAAATTGTCTCTCTATTGCTAAAAATGAAAATATAACCATAAAAAAGACTATTCAAAGAGAAAAAAAGATGTGTCCTGAATGCAGTGCAAATGTATACAACATCCCAAGACATTTGCAGGGAAAACCCCATTATTGGTCAAAAGAAAAAGCTCTTGCTGCAATTAGCATATATGGACTTAGGAAAAAAAAAAATTTAATAACAGAACGAAAATCAAAAAGTTATCATCGCAAGCGAACTTGTCCAATATCTTCTTGTTCAAAAGTTATTTTGCATTTAAATGAACATCTTTTAAAAGTTCATAAACTACCCAGAAATTCACAATATTATACATTGCTAAAAGATGCAAAAGTATATGTTGAAAGCTCACAAAATCAAATTAATAATTATGGCAACATTGAAAAAATTTCAACAGCTGCAAAACAAATAAATGAAAAAAGAGAACAGGTTCAACTTGTTCACAATCATAATAAAAACTCAAAAATTTCAGTTTTGGAGTTTAATTTGGATGAACAATTTAAAACTGATCAACCCCAAACTGAACTTCAATGTGCACAATATGAACAAAACCAAGAAAATCATAATAATGAATCAGATTTAGAACAATATTCAGATTTTTCTGATTCACTAAAGTCAGATGATTCTGAATATATACCTGATGAAATTTTAGAACCAAAGTGTGGTCCTTTTGTTGAAGGGCTTTTTGCACAATTTCATAAATTTATGATTGGGCCTGATAGAGGTAGAAAAGAGTTATCAATACAAAGTGTTGTTGGAAACGTAAGACGAATTTTTGAAATCATTGGAGTCAACAATGATTTAAGAATTGTTTTTTTAGATATTAGTAAAAGTGTAAGAGATAAATATCTTACAACATATTGTGTTGAGAAAAGTATAAAGCCTGGGGCTATAAAAACATATTTATATTCATTAAAAGATTTTTGTGACTTTCTTTTAGCTGAAAATATATTTTTAGAAGGTATCACTAACCAACATATTAGTGAAGCTTCTATGAAGTTAGATCAATGGAGGAAAAAATATAAAGCTCATGATAAAGTACAAAAACACATACGAGCTGAAGAAGACTTTGAAATGCTTATTACTTCTGAGCAAGTTAGTTTATATGAAAATAGTCAATTTGCTAGTAATGCCAGAAATATGATAAAATCAACTGAAAATCTGCCTTTTTCACCAACAGATTATTGCTGTGTAAGAGACCATTTACTAACTATACTTATATTTTCTAATGCGCCACGGTCAGGTGTCCTTGCTAGAATGACTGTAACTCAGTTTGAAAAAGCTGTTATTTCAGATAATCGTGCTGTAATAAGTGTTAAAGACCATAAAACATTTTCTACTTATGGAGCAGCGAAAATACAGATCCTAGAAGAACATTATAAATGGGTAAACACTTTTATAAAAAAGTTTAGAGCTTGTTTACCCATTCACTGCGATAACGTTTTTCTTGCTCGGTCGGGGCGCCCACTTTCACCAGGAGATATTAGCAAACGCCTTGATAATTTGTGGAGGAAATGCGGGATTTTTAATGGGCGCGTTATTCCCAAACATTTATCGGCTAATATTGTTAGGAAATCTGCTTCAACCAATTTAAGAGAAGCAAACAGTAAATTTGTGAAAGAAGCCGCAAAAGCAATGATGCATAGTGATCGCACTGCTGAAGAACATTATGCCATACCCAACATGGTAAAATCTGTTAAGTCTGGTCTAGAAGAAATTCGGCAACAATTTTACAGATGCACTACGCCAAATGACATTTCATTAAAAACAGATGATGCTGTAAATAAAGACCCAAGTATGGAATCTTATCCACTTATTGGTGATAATACAGTTCATCAAAAATTAGAAAAAAAAGAAACAAATTATCAAACCTCAAACATTATATCTACTATCACTACTCCACACAAAAAAGCTTGGTTGCCAGATGAAATTAAAGTATTGAAAGAGGTTTTCCCAAGCGGATCACCATCTGTTAAAGAAATTAAAAAAGTTCATTCACATCTGAATATTGATGCCTCGCCAATACAAATCTACAATAAGTTTAGTAGCATTCGCAGGTATTCGCCACACTGCAAGGTTCGTTTTTTTTGTATTTCAAATTTCTCTCAAATCAGCTCTCAAATAGTTCTTATTAATTAAACTTTTAATAAAAGATTGAGAATGCAATTTAACACTAGAATTATAAAAAAGAAAAAAATAAAGTTGCTTTTACATGAAAAACCATATTAAGTTTTTAAATTAACTTATATAATCATATGGTAAATCTTTTGCAACTAAATGGTTTATTAGCGACTCGGAGCAATCAATAAATAAGTGATTTGACAGCAAAATTATCGATCAAATGATTATATGTTCTAAAGGATAACTTTATGTTTGGCTTACAATTTGACTGGAATAAAAAATTTAAAAGCAAAATATACAGGTGAAAATGTTGTGCAAGTTTATGAATTTAAGAGGTGAACCAGTTGCTGCTTTATGTAATTTAATAAAAGCTTTTGGCCCTTGACTGGTACTTTTGAGTGTTTGAAATCTACTATGAAGATATTTTAAGTTTTACTCAGAAATATATTTAAAAAAAATATATTTCTGAGTAAAACTTAAAATATCTTGTTTATTGACAAGAATTGTATGTAACTTTTCTCATCAAAAGTAATATTATAAATATGGTTATATTGCCTATATCTTTTATTTTAATAAGTTTTTCATAAGTTTGAGCACTCCATTTGAATCTATTTTTCTTGAAGAATGCACTTTAGGGTGGTCCATAAAACAACTTTTTTGAGAAAAACCTGCTGACACCCCCTAAATGTGTTTTATCTAATGCAAAAACACTAGGTTTAAAATTTTTTTGAACAAAAATTATTTTTAGGGGTAGCTCAAGGCCCTCAAAAATTTGACGGGTCCCTAATATTTTAACCAGGTTGACATACTTTAGAAAAAGTTTTTTTTCAAAATATTAGGGACCCGTCAAATTTTTGAGGGCCTTGAGCTACCCCTAAAAATAATTTTTGTTCAAAAAAATTTTAAACCTAGTGTTTTTGCATTAGATAAAACACATTTAGGGGGTGTCAGCAGGTTTTTCTCAAAAAAGTTGTTTTATGGACCACCCTAATGCACTTATACATTTTGTAAAGCATCAAACTCAGATTTTTTTTTTTTCAATCATAAGTCACATGATATTTGCGGCAGTCATTATTGATAGTAAATTTTTATCAAAATTTTATACATATGATTTCTATTTTTATACATATAATTATATTTCAGGAAATATGGTTTTGTGGTGTATAGTGTATATTATATATCTTTATTCTATCATTTTTAGTGTAGTTGATTTTTACTTTCCACTAATATTAAATTTATGTGCAAAAGATTTACAATGGATTATTTTTAAATTTTTATTTGGATCACCAAAATCTCTGATCAAAATATTCTTCAATATTCTAATCAAAATCTCTTTTCAAAGTATTCAAAATCTCTGTAAATATTGTAAAACACTAATTTAAATAAACTCAGTTAATTTTACTTTATAAATTGTTAGGAATCTAAACGAGCACTTTTTTCCAAAAGTCGTATGTGCAAATGGAAACCACATCATATTAACACCCTTCGAACTGTGGGGGCTGATTTACTCTCAGGCAGTTCCCTTTCTGCAAGTAAAATAGAAGAAGTGCTTAAAGGAACAGAAGTATGGACTGATTTTTCTATAGCACAAATTCGAACACGTGTGAAGCACGAGAAAGATATATTTGCGAAGACTTGCATTTGATTTCACAATTGTGAGTCTTCACATTAAAAACTTAGTCTTCACATTAGAAACTTAGTTTTATATTTTTTTAGGTTTTTAGTAATAGTTTTGTTGGCAAGTTTATTTATGGAATTGTCTTAATGTTATTTGTTTTGTTTTTCAACAAATTTAGTTTATTTTCTAGTTTTAAAATATTTAAGTAGCATTTGTTAGCTTTGCAAAATGACAACTTCAAATTAAATTTTGCTACTGCTGTAGTTTTTCTTGATGTTTTGTTGATATTTCAGTATTATGCTTTGTATAACTTGAGAGAGTGCTTTAACTAGTTTTACTTAGAAAAATCCAGCAAAATATAAAGGCTTTATGTAGACAAAGTTTGTGGTATTTTTTTGGTTTTGTAATCTAAAGTACAAAAATGTACTGTATATCACTTATTAATAAAACCAAAGTGAATTCAATCGTTTACCAAGCTTTTTCGAAAACATGACTAATTATTACATACTTTACCATACACTGTTATATCTAGTATTTTGATAAATTTATTATTATTTATTTTTAGGTAATTTTTATTCAACTAAGTATTCTATCAAATTTATTAGAGAAAAATCCAAGCTGATCATAATTCTTCAATGTGAACTTCTTAAAAGTTTACTTTTTATGCAGCAAAATAAATTTAAAACACAAAAAAGAAAAACCCCAGATTTAACAGAAGGAGTTTAAAAATAAATTCAACATATGGTAACATGTTTCCTATTTTCTAATATAGTAAATATAAATTTTTTAGATTTTTGATTTTAGAATTTAAATTATTTTTAGATAAAACAAATGGTGTGTATTGTGAAATAAACTTTGTGTAAAATTATAAATATTTATTAATGATAAATCATTCTATATTATTGCTGAACTTAACGCTGCTGCTCACCATTCGTGCGCCTTTACACAGACTTTTTTACCATACTTGGCCTTTCATTTTTATTATATCACGCAATGAGGTACTTTCAAATCTTAAAGATCTGTCAATATCTGCCTAATTAGTAATGAGATCAACTTTGCTTCATCAGCTTAATTAGTGATAAGATCAACAATTTTTATTTAATAACTTCTGTAGTAAAGGATAAACCTTATGTTATTTTTGAATTAGTAAAGTAACTTTTAAAGTCAGGTGATTTATTTAATTCATGCATTATAACAATAACGCAATTCAAGTCCTTTGTCAATTGTATTTAAAGTATATTAATCTGTAATTTTTAAATTAGAAGGCGATGATGACTCAAGAAAACGTTGCTCTTTTCAAATGCAAGAGGTCAAACTTTTGATAAAGTTAGTGCTTATCTTCAAAACCCTTGCATCTCACACGGTCAACTCGATGTTACATGTTAAAGAATAAGATCGTTTAATACCTTATTTAAAAGAAGTTACAAAAAAAATCCGTTTGCTTTTATATAAAAAACCAGATCGTTTGATCGTTTGTTTTTGCAAGTTGTTAAACATTTATTACAAGGTATGTCATTAAACAAAAATAAAGTTGTGTTTGTAAAGTTTCTAATTTATATATTTTTTTCAATTTATATATTTATTTATATTTGTGCGTTATTTATTATGTGTTTAAATGTGTTAAGGTTATAAGGGTTATTTTGTAAGTGTGTAAATATCTTTTATATATGAAATGTTTCTATGTTTGTGATGTTTTATAATGTTAAGTGTTTATAGTTTGTAAGTAATTATTATGTTGTTTGCATGGTTTCAAATTGTTATGAATTACAGCGAGATTGTTTACCTTGCTGGCCAAGTAGTGTACTTTGCTATAATGTGACTTTGTTGAGAGCAAAGTCACATGTTAGCAGTGCTTGCTTAGCCGACAGGCCTTTTAATTTTTTAATTTGCTATATTTATGAGATCTAATATGTAAAAAAAATTTTTTTTAACTTGCTATATATGATAGAGTATAATAGATTATTGTATTATGCTCTGTATTATTCGCTTACACCTTATTTTAGATAAGTTTAAAAAAGAAAACTCAAAATTCAACTTTTATTATATTAGGCATTATTTTTACACACTCCTTTGATGCCTAATTATGTCTGATAGTTTAAGAAATGAAATTGTTAGACTTCGTTGAAATGAAATAAGGCAAGCTTGGCGAGCTGAGATAAACCGCCGTCGAAATGAAAGATATGAGCCCAAGCGAGCTGAGATAAATTGTCGTCAAATTGAAAAAGATAAGCGCAGACGAGCTGGAATAAACCGCCGTCGTAATGAAAGAGATTACCCCAGGCGAGCTGAGATAATCGTTTTATTATCTCTGAATTAAAGTGATAATTGGGGACATTGTAAGTACATATTATCATCTAATATGTACTTACAGTGTAAAAGAACTTAAAATTCAGTTATTCACTTTGTATGTTCTTTATCGATGTGTCCATATCTGGTCAAGAAAACATTAATATATTTATTAAAAGAATCATTTTTGTTATAAATTAACGTTTTACTATATATGTATTTTTTGTTTTATTTATTTTTATAATATTACCTTAATTATCTCATGATGATAAAGTTATTTTTCATGTTTAGCTGCAAATATTAAGTATTACAAACATTTTAAATTTAGTTGTTATTTTATTTCTTTAGTTTTACTTTGGTGCTTTACCGACTATCATAAAATTACTTTGTCTACTGTTAAAATATGGTTTAAACTTAGTAAACTTTAATTATTTAAAATTTACTATGTTGATCATTAGCTAATAGTTTTAAAATAAACCTGTTTGTTGCAATTAAGTTAAAAATAGTTTTATTTTTTATTCAATTTACATATTTTGTTTGCACTGATAGCTGTTAAGTTTTTGTTATTTTGTGTTATAGCTAATTATTTTGGCATTTTCTTTTCTTTCAGATTTTGACTATTAACAATGCTTTAGAAAAAACATCAGCAACAGATAAATTGGTTTGTAGTGTTAATAAGTAATGTTTTTACTTTTATCATATCATAGTTTTTTTTTTTAATCATAGATATATCTAACAATGCTTTTTCAGCATATTTCAGAACAAATAGAGAGACCCTAACCCACATCTCCTAAGGTGGGGGCCCAAGTTTAGGGCAAAAGCTCAACCCTCCTTTTGTGTGTGGATCCTGCTGAAAGTAAAATATGAGGAGATGGAGAGCGGTGGGAAAATAATACGCTACATCTTAGTAATTTTTATAGTTGGTTAATCTACCAATTGTTAATTGATGATGCAGATGCAGTTAAATTTTTTTCTGCAAATATAACTTTTCTTTACATTTTTGTTTTGTTATTTTGTATAAATATATAGTAATTGTAAATGATAAAACGTTTTTATATTTAATGATGTTTATAAATGTTTTTTTTTTTTTTTCTATAAATAAAAATTTGTAATGTTTTGTATATAAATTTTGTTGAAAAGGTTTCTGCTTTTTTTTATTGTTAAAATGTCATATATTTTGTTTCCTTCTCTAATGTTTTACTAATGGTTAATAAATAAAGGCAAAACGGAGATACGTCGACTGAGGGTTTAGGTTTGGGCAGGCATTCTTTAAATTAAAGAAAAGAGTTTTAATATTTATTTAAATAGGGTTAATAAAATATTTTAAACTATATTTAAAAAATTATAAAACTAAATTGCATAAGATTTTTAGATGAAACAGTCAAAATAAATGTTTAAATACATGCGTGCAAATAATTCCTATCCTAAACTATTTAACTAAACTAAATAATTCCCAATGCTAAACGTAAAAAAAATGCTTACAAACGCCAAAAGTATGTTTGCCGTTAATAAAATTAAGTTCAAAGATAAATGGTCTCAACAGTAAGATGTATTTTTAATTATTTTTATTATAAGTTGGGATGAAAAAAAGGTTTTTTTGTCGCTATTAAATATAAGTGCATTTTGAGCTAAAAAAAATATCATTCACATCAACTTGATCAATATAAATATGTGTTGCAACAGTCACTGATGCCATATTATTAACTTAAAAAATTAAGTTTTTAAATAAACTAACATCATCAGGCATGTAAAATAACAACTTAACTTTGTACAATAGCCAATCGAAAATTCGTCCATATAAATAAATACATTGTTTCAAATAAAAGCCTTTGACGATTTTCTGAATTATTTCGCTGTGGTAAAATAAAATATGTGATGAGTTTTAGCATTCTGAGTAATATTCAGAATGTTATAACTAACTTTAAAAACTATCACCTGGTAAATTTAGTAACATGTTCTTAATAAGTTTGAATTACTTTTCTTTGAAAATAATTTCGGATAACAATTTAAAAACTGCATATAAATAAACATAAGATAGTCTTGCTTGAGTTTAGATGGACTTGAGATAACTTTGAATGTTTCTTAAAACTTTTTTTTTTTTTTTTTGATATTTGAATTTTACTCATAGAGTCAAAATTTAATCATTTTTGGCCCCATACATTGTAAGATATTTTTTATTCACCTAAGGAGTATTTTTAACCAAAAATGGGCTTAAGATATTTTTGCTTTGCAGCGACGATATATCTATATTTTTATTATTTTTTCAACTTTAATTTATACTTTTGTCGTGATACGGGAATTCTACGAAACTCTTTTTGATAATAGCTTGTTAGGAAGATTTTAAACTTTTCCATATAAATTTTTGTTTTATAAAATAAATTTTATGTTTTTTAGCTTTGTTTTTTAATGCGACCTTATGTATTCATAAAGATTGAATACAATACAATGCATAGTTGGCAATACAATCATGCTGGGCACGTATGGTAGTGTATGTAATTTTCTATGAAGTTATACAAAGAAAAGAAAAAGTTATTAAAGATAATAAATTATCATTAAAACTTCTTTCTGTTTTTTCTAACTTTTCTATTTTTGTTAAAAATTAAAATTTATAAAAATTTCTTTAAAATTGTGGCCACGTAATGTTATTTTTAGTCGTCTTTTGGATACGTTGGTAACGTTAAAAATAAAAATATGTAAACTTTAAACGTTATTGGACTAAAACATAAAGAAGTTGGGTATTGATTCTTAATGACGTAAAAAATTTGGAAGTCTCTGTGCGCCCCTGATAAAAAATAGTTGATAGTAATATTTAAAAGATGATTGCTAGGGGATTTATCACAGATGCCGAACATCATTTAGCCAGAACAGCATTGCTGAACACTTAATTAATTTGCCAGAAATTTCACGCCTTCTTTCGTTCGATTGTAGCATATATTGTAAAAGCAAGTCTCTTTGCGACAAGCTCAGGAAACCAGAACTTTAGCCACTGCACCACAGCTGCTAAACATCCTCGCTCTATATTTTGAAATGGTGACAAGGAAATAATACGTTGTAGATATAGATTAGGTTGAATCGTATAGGCCAAAACTCATTGTAGATGAAAAATTTAATCTTTTTAGTCACTTGCAATATTGAAAAATGTCCCAGAGCCCATTTTGTTGCTTTGCGTTGAACAGATTCAACAAAGGTTAAATTAGTTTTTAAATTTGGAGTCTAAATAGGCACTGCATATTCATAGTGCTGGTCTTTATATAAAAACACTTTATGTAATTTAGGACTTATTGATTACAGTGATATTTTTTAGCTTACCAAGAATTTGTGGAGACAATATAATGCTCCATTTTAAGTTAGATGTAAAATTAACTCTCCATCACGCTAGTAAAGCTTCTTAGGCATTAATTTATACCTTGGTTACTTTTCAAAAAGTAAATTTAATTATCATCATAGATAACACTGCAACAATGGTTAATTTAAGTAAACAAGTTTTCCAAGCAAAGAAAACCCTGCAGATCTACGAAATTGAGATTTAGAGAATCCGCGGCGCAGTGGTAGTGCACTTGCCTCAGAAACAAAGGGTCCTTGGTTCAAACCCCATCTCTGGGCAAGTTTTGTGACATCGGTTTGGAAGGAGGCGCAAACTTTCGATTAAATGTTTATTCGCGGTGCTCTGTGATAAGACCGTGACTTCTTAGGGCACCTAAATAAAATTAAAAAAAAAAAATTAGTCTGCAAGGAAGTTTTAGAAAAAATTTAGTATCATTGGCAAGTATTTCAGAAGTTGTAGTTAGGCGGGTAAGAAGTTGTATGTAGATGAGACTTAAATCATATTTGTTATCAAGGATCCAATTATTCTGCTAAACGATATTGATTACTATTTAAATTGTCAAATAAATGGTTAATGAATTTTAACATAAGTTAATTCAGTATTACCCTCATTGGAAGAAAAACAGTTTCACAGTAGCAAATACACAATAGAGAGAGTAATGAGGTAACCACGCCTTGCTTAAGAAATTTCAATCATTACGAAATTAAAAAAAAATTATAATGCAACATTATTTTCACACAAAAAAAGTTAATTGTATATATATAAAGCATATTTGTTAGCAAGCTATCTTATAACCTTCCTAAAAGCATTCTAACATTCTGAATGATTGAACAAAACAGTGGTTTTTTAGGTTCGATTTTGAACTAGTGACAAATATCTAAGAAAACGCAGGCCTTTTTTTTTGTTAGTCAGATTAAAATACCCTGACCAACAGGACAATGACAGCAATTGAAACTACACTATGTAACATGACATTAAGTTTTTTTTTAAAGCAACAAGAAAAGAATGTGACTTTAGGGCAACATTGTCATAAAAAATGAAATTGTAAAAAATACATTTGTAAAGCACAAAGAATCGTATGCATACTCAGTAAATATTTTAAGTATCCATACATTGAAGCATTTGTACACATCACTGGATACAGGCGTGGATACAGCGAGAAAAAGATGATGTGGGTAATGCATTACCTCTACAAGACTTTTTTTTAACTCAAACAAATATGTTGTTGTCCGATAATCATACTCATGCAACGATCATGTTTCACTACACATTATCTCATGCAATTTTTTTTTTTTTTTTTTTTTTTTTTCTATAAATTTTCACAACTACATATTAATTACAAATTTTTTACACTGCAATATTATAAAGAAACTGTACTTCCTAAACAAAAAAAACAAAAAAAATACATTTTACAAAATACCGTTAAGTATAGGAAGCAATAATTAGGTATGCTATGACTTGATAAGAAGGGATTTGTTGTTGTAGGGAACTCGTAGAAGACTGAGATTAGTCTTATCATCGAGAACCTTGAGGTATTGCGTAAAGCACACATATAAACAATGTGATTCTCATTAAAGAAATGTTTTACATGTTATTATTGCAAACTTTTTTTTTCTTTTCTTTTTAATTGAACTATGTTTTGTGTTAGTGTTGAGGTTTATAATAATAATACTAGCTTTATTTGTTAAACAAAAATTTACATTTTCCATATGTATTTGATTGCTGATTATTTTAATTTGAGCGTAAATTCTGATTTACCATCAGAACTAGAACATTTTTAGGTAATTTTCCATATTAAGAACATGATTTTTGAGTTTCGACTTTAAAGAAGTTATATTGTCTGGGAGAGAAATCGAGGTATAATTCGGAATTAATTTGTTGAATAAATATGGGCCACGATAAGAAATAGAAAATTGAGAACTTTTTTTTTTTTAAGGGGTACAATAAAGTTACCAGTTGCTCTTGTGTTAAATTTGTTGATATTAGATTGAAAGAAGTTTCCTGTGAATCGGTTTGGAACTAATCCTAGTTTGTATTTAGGCATGAACAAAATGTTAGCGTAGATATTAATTTGGTAAATGTTTAGTGCTTTCATTTCTTTTAATAGGGGTTTAGCGTGGGTCAGTTTTTATGATGTATTATTCTAGAAGCATGTTTTTGTCGTCAATAAAGAGATATTAATTTTGTCTTGTGTGTGCTTCCCCAGGCTATGCTGGCATATGTGAGATAACTATGTATAAAGGAAAAGTAAAGAAGTTTTAGGTTTTTTTGCGATAAAAATGGTCTAGCTTTAAAAAGTATACCAATACTTTTAGATATTTTAGTGTTGATGGCATTTATATGAGCTGTCCATAAAACATTATCGTCAATAATCACACCAAGAAATTTAATTGTTTGGGTTCTTTCAATTTTTTTGTAGTCAATACTTAGTGTCGGTAGAATTGATTGTAGTTTGTTCTTCTGTTTCTTTGAGTGAAATAAAATATATTTAGTTTTTTGCGCGTTTAATGATAACTTGTTAGCACTGAACCATGTTTTAAGTTTTTTAAGTTCAAAGGTGACTTTATCAAAGAGGTCATTGATAGTGGTAGATGAATAGAACAGATTGGTATCATCTGCAAACATTATACAATCGAGATTTGTAGAGGCTTTAGGAAGATCGTTAATGTAGA